CGCGAGCGCCTCCTCGTAGGTCATGGCGGACGCGTCGAGGCGCGCGAGCTCCTTGACGTGGGCCTCCCGGAGGCGGTTCCGGTGCTGGGCCTCCATGAAGGTCTCGTCGCCGCTGTCGGAGTCGTCCTCGTCGTCGTCGAGCTCCTCGGCCGCGCGCGGCCGCTGCGGCTGGACGGCGCCCCGCATGATCTCGTCGTAGGTCATGGGCTTCGGCGCCGCGTCGTCGTCGTCGTCGCCGCCGCCGAAGAGGTCGGGCACGGCCCCGCCGAGGTCCGGCAGGGCGTTGACGATGTCGTCGATGAGCGTGGGCTTCCTTTCGGCCCGCGCCCGGGCCGCGGCCTCCCGGTCCATCTGCCGCTGGGCCGCCCGGAGCTTGGCCGACGGGGTGGCGGAGGTGAGAGCGCTCATTTCGTGCCGTGGGGTGTGCCGACCCGGGTGGTGGTCTCAGGTGCTCTCAGCGGTGGTGGAGATCCATCAGCCTTCGGGGGCTGCGTACGGTAATCCTAGTTAGTTTAGCCGTTGCGCCGGGGGTGGGGCGCGCGCGCGGGCTCATGTGGCGGGAGGGTGTCGCGGAGGCGCGCGTGAACATGCTGGAGGACTCCAGGCGGAGTGGTGTGCTGGTCGGTCGGGGGGGTCGAAGGCGCTGGTGGCGAACCGAGAGCTGGTATCGAGAAACCGAAGTCGACCGTCACGATAACGTTAACGTCCACCTCGTGCGCTTGAGTTTGAGCTCGCGCAAACAACTCCGCCGTTTCTCCCTAGTACTCATCAACTATGGAGGCGATCCTCGAAACCTTGTCCGGGCTGTACGCCGAGAACCCCACGGCCCTCGTCGTCGGTGGCGCCGTCGCCGCCGCGACCATCGCCGTCAAACTGACGAAGAAGTCCAAGAAGTCGAAGCCGGCCAAGAAGAAGACGGTCTCCAAGCCCACGCCGACGCCGTCGAAGCGCCCCCGACGGGCGAGCGCCGCCGCCGCCGCCGCGGTACGTCCCCCTGTCCATACGCGCACGGTTTCGAGGCGGACGTCTCGGTCGAACCGTTCGAGCGATCGGCGATCGCCTCGACCGCTCCGCGCGCGGTCCCTCCTCGCCCCGGGGACACGCTCACGATCCCCCGCGCACGGGCCGTCGTCGGCGGCGCGCGGGATCGCGTCGGTCGCTCCGTGCGCGGTCCTTCGACGCGCCCGCGACGCGATCGACGAGCGGGGGAACGCCTCGCTCGCTCCGCGCGCGATCCCTCACCCCCAACCCCCCCCGCAGATCGTCGCGCCCGTGAGCACGCGGAGCGCCAAGAAGCCGGCCAAGAAGACGCCGGCCAAGAAGCCCGCGGCGAGCGCCAAGAAGAGCGCCAAGAAGCCCGCGACGGTCAAGAAGGCGACGCCGAAGAAGGCCGCGCCGAAGAGCGCCAAGAAGAGCGCCAAGAAGCCCGCGAGCGCGAAGAAGCCCGCGACGCGCCGCTCGACGCGGTCCAAGTAGATCCGCGGAGACTCGGCCGCCGCGCGACCTCGCGCGCGCCGTCTCTCGCGAGCCGCTCACCGACCTCTCACCTCCCCGCTCGCCGACGCGCGGGCGGGCGCCGACCGCTTCCCGTCCCCCATCCCCGTCCCGTTCCCCCGAGAGCCCGGCTAGACCGCGCGCCGTTCTAACACACGTCGCGCAGCAGGCTTACTCGCCGCGGAGCGCCTTCGCGGCGCGCGCTCCCAGGAGCACGACGAGCCCGAGCACGATCTGCGCGACGCCGGAGACGACCGCGGGGTTCGCCGCGTAGAGCAAGGAGAAGAAGGGCTTGAGGAGCTGCGCCGCGCCGATCGCGTCGTACTTCTTCGCGCCGGCCGGCGAGAACGCCGGCGCGCGCGCGCGCGCGCGGGAGCGTCGCGAGGTCCAGCACGTAGCGCCGGCCCGCGTCGTTGCCCGCGTCGATGGCCTCGAGCACCGCGGGCAGCTCGGACACGGGCACGACCTCGATCTCCGGCGCGATCTTCCGCCCGCGCGCCAGGTCGACGACCTCGCGCGTGCACGCCGTGCCGCCGATCCACGACATGGTCACCGGCGCGGTCCCGCCCAGGAGCTTGTCGACGTAGTTCGCCGCGAAGGACTGGGGGTGCACGCCGAGCAGCACGAGCTTCCCGCGCGTGGGGTCGAGGAGCGCGCGGACGGCGGCGAGGTCGTGCGACACGGGCACGGTGTCGATGACGAGGTCGAGGGCCGCGGCCTCGCCGAGGACCGCCGCGCGGTCCGCGCCGAACTTCTTGCACGCGGCCGCGGCCTTTTTTTTCGACCGCGAGATCGCCGTGACCTCGCAGCCCAACGCCTTCGCGAGCTTGACGGCCATGGCGCCGACGCCGCCGAGGCCGACGACGCCGACGCGCGTGCCCTCACCCGCGCCGTAGCGCTTCAGCGGCGCGTAGGCCGTCGTGCCCGCGCACATCAAGGGCCCCGCGGCCTCGAGCGGCAGCGCGGCGGGGATCGCGATCGCGAACCGCTCCTGGACGACGACGCGATCCGCGTAGCCGCCCGCGGTCTGCGGCGTCGACCCGCCGCAGCGGCCGTGGCGGTCCGGCGACGCGTAGGTCATGACCTGCCCGGGGCACCGGTGCTCGTCGCGCGCGTCGCAGGCGCCGCAGGCCTGGCAGCTGTCGACGAGGCAGCCGACGCCGACGCGGTCGCCGACGGCGAACGCCTCGACGTCGGCGCCGACGGCCGCGACGACACCGGCGATCTCGTGGCCCGGCACGAAGGGGAAGGCCGTGCGGCACCCGACGCTCTGGCCCGACCGCGCGGTCCAGAGGTCCGAGGCGCAGACGCCGCAGAATTTGATCTGGATCAAGATGTCCTTCGGGCCCACGGCGCGCCGCTGGATGACCAGCGGCCGGAAGGCGCACGTCGTGTCGTCGCAGGCGAGGCAGCGCGCGTCTCTCGTGGGCCCCATAAGTGGACACACAAATTGCGAAGCTTCAAGTTGAAGTGGTTGCCTCCGACCTCGAAGTCGATGGATCGAGCAACCCGGGTTGCTCGAGCATCAGTGCGTTGGCTGCTACTCGCGGCGAGCGCTTGCGCCTTGCAACCGCAGAGCGTCGAGCATCCGGCCCTGCAAAAACTGCAGCCACACCGCGTCGAGCATCCGACCCTCCGAAAACTTGCCGTGGGCGCCTCCGTGCAAGCTTCCGGCGATGTCAGAATACGACGCCTGTCGTCGAAGCCGAGCGCCTTCCTGCTGGAGAACGTGCTCACGCCAACGGACTGCGACCGCGTCGCCGCGGCGGCCCTCGCGTCGGGCATGAGACCCGCGGACACGGTCTCCGGCGACGCCCGGAGCCGCACGAACTGCGACGTCGCCTGGCTCAAGCCGCCCGGCCAGCTCAGTAAGGACGTCGCCGGCAGCGTCGAGCGACAGGAGTGTTTTTTCGCGTGAACTTCGCCTGAAGATGTGAAGAAATCCGACCCCGTCGCACTCGGTAGGTCGCCGGGCTCCTGCTGTCCGACGAGGCGCGGGCCGCGCCCGACGGCGGCTGCGAGGACCTGCAGGTGCTCCGGTACGCCGACGGCGGCGCCTACGCGCCGCATCACGACACGGCGCGCGACGCGCCGCGCGCGCTGACCGTGCTCTACTACTTGAACGGCGTCGGCGGCACGTGGTTTCCGCTCGCGGACGACGCGCGGGACCCGCCGCGCGGCCGCGCCGAGGCGCTGGACCGCGCCGGGGCGCTCGACCACCGCCGCGACGGCGTCCGCGTCCGCGACCCGAAGCGCGGCGACGCGCTCGCCTTCTTCAACCACGACCGCGACGGCGGCGGGTTGGACTGGACGGCGATCCACAGCGCGCTCCCCTGCCCGGGCGAGAAGTGGGTCGCGAACCACTGGTTCCACGTCGGGGGCCTCTTCGCCGACGCGAGGTAGCGCCGGCGCTCATTAGAAATGCAATTAGTCATTGCTCATGTCCTCGCGAAGTGAGGCCGTGTGTCGCGCGATGAGTTCCTCGAACGTCTCCTTCGTCGCGCCTCCGTCGGCCGCGGCCTCGAGCTGCGCGAGGCGCCGCCGGGCCTCGTCGACGAGCTCGAGCTCCTCGAGCCACTCCAGGAGCATGTCGCTCGCGCGCTGGAGCCGGTCCTCCGTGGACCGCGTGACGAAGGCCCAGACCACGTCCTCGGGCGCCGCGGCGCCGAGCGGCGGCCGGAGCGCGCGCCAGGCGGCGAAGGAGATGGCCCGGAGCTCGTCGACCTCCGGGTCCGTCTCCACGACGTCGCCGTACACGCCGAAGTCGCACTCCGAGGCCGCCGCGAGCGCGGCGGCCGCCGCGGCCGCGAGGGACTCCGAGGACGCCGAGACCGCGGCGGCGGCCTCGTCCGCGAGGGGGTGGTCCACGAGGGGGCAGTCCGCGGCGAGGGTCACGAGGTCCGTGCCCCGCAGCTTCTCGCGGATCTTCTCGTGCGTCCGGCAGCACAGGTCGGCGAGCGGCCGGTACCGCTTCACCGCGTGCACGGGCGCGA